ATAGCAGGTGGTAGGTTGGTAAACAACCTCTGGTTCTGTTTTTCCAACCTGGGAAAGCAACAACCAGGTTCAGGTTCTAATAACAGAACCTGTTTTGTCTTTGCCCAACCAGCCAAATGCTGGTTCTGCTGGTTTCCCCTGGCCTTGTAGCATGCAGATACAGACAAACAACATCCAACCTTCACCTAAATTGTACCCCTATAGTGCCTTCCCTGCTACACTACAGTCAACCAAACAAAACAGTACAATTTTGAGTTGGATAGAACTGAATCTGCGCAATCAACTCAACTGAACTGCAAAGCTTCCATCCTGGGTTCCTTTGCGAGCTCGTCCTTTCTGCTTGCACTGTTCATAGCGCGTACAATGTTGTGCCGAAGCGCACATTGCGCGAGTACCTGCAAATGCATCAAGCGAAAATTGCGAAAGCAAACAAACACACGAACATTCCATTCACACCCAAATGCATTCGCACACACATACTCGTGCAAACAGACGGCAGGATGTCGTGCAATGTGCATTTGCACCCAACAGACTCTCCAATTTTCTCCAACGTCCCGCGGTCGCACACCGAGTGGGACGCACCACTGTCCACCAGTGCCTGGAGGCGTCGCCCGTTGCAGATCACCTCGAGTACTAGTGGCTGCTGCCGCTCCGAGTAGGTGTAGATGGTGTTGCTTACAGGATCATAAGGTAGATCAAATGTGTCGTCCCTTGGTCCTGCGCTCGAAGCTGCTGACTCAGTTTCCAACTTAGCAGGGATAGAAGGATTTATCCGAGGCCGATTCAGCTTCTCTAGGGCCTGGAACCTTCCCCTAAGCCTTTGCAGCGGTGTGGGCTTTGCCTGTGGGGAACAGGGAGCCTTTAAATATTGCTGCCGGGAGAGAATATGAACTCCTCGGAACGCTCGACCCTTATCAGCGCTCCGGAGTAGGGTCCCCATATTACCCGGTACCGGTTTAATTTCTGACTCTCCCTTAAAATAGGCTTGAAAACCACGAGAAGTAATATTCTTACTTGTCGGGGTGTACGGCTGGAGTTTCCCAGTCGGTGCAGAGTCTTGTTTCGCGGAGTCTCTATTGGTCTCGGCGATTTCCCCTGGAGCCGGCTGGTCGTGGCATTTTAAATTCGCGCCACCATATTCTCCTTTTTTCGCCCTCTCCGAAGTTGCCACGTTGTCCGTTTTCTGCTTCGGGGGTGCCACACTGTTCTTGTCCCTCAGCTCCGCACGTACTTTCTTCATTTTCCAACACGCCAAGATACGATGTCCTGTAGCGCCGCAAAATTCGCACGTCGCATTTTTTGCTAGCCACTGCGTCGCATCGCCCTTGTCGTTCTCCATCGGGTCGGCAGTCGTGGGTGGTGCCAATCGCTCCATGCCACTATTTGGCTTGTTGCGTCGTGTTCCGTAGTAGCTACTGTTCAACGCGTCGAACTGTTCGATCAGTGCTGCCCGAAACTGCGCCCACGTCTCTTCGCCTTGGACAAATCTATTGCTAATCCACTCTAGAGCTGGGCCTCGTAACAGTGTTGCTGCGAGCCGTATGCGCAATGCGTCTTGGTTGAGGGTCGTGCATCCAACGGCTTCGAAGAAATTTTCTAGTACAGCTACAAATCGACGGACGTCGCTCCCTTTCGCTCTAGGATCGAACGCGTCTGGTCGCCCTGGCTTTACTGCTTCGGGATTAAATGTAGCTGCCGCCGTTGTCGCAGGTAAAAGTATCGGTGTCGCCGTCGTCGCTTCTGCTGCTGCTGCGGCTACCGATTGGTTCGCAAGGAATTTTTCAAGTCGTGGGAGCGCCGCAAATATCTGCTTATGCTCAGCACGTAACTCCGCGAGTTTTCGTATACAGAAATCTCTATTTCCCTCTATTTGGCGATTTACAGAAAGAAGCGCGACGAAAAGAATTAAATTATGGGTGCTGGTCGACTTACTGCGAGTCGAATCGACTGTAGAATCGACGAGCACTAATTCGGTAGGTCGCGCAAATCTCCCCAAGTTGAAATTCGCGTCCGATCTTGGCCGTTGAAGAAAAACTCGATCTGACGGTCGAAATTCCAACTTTTTTGGGCGAAATTCTCAGGGCTGTTGAGATGGAAATCGATCTGACGCTCGAAATTCCAACTTTTCTGCAAATAATCCTGAGGGGTGTTCGAAACCGAATCGAGGGGGACTTAGAAAAATTCGCGCGGAACTGGTTTTACATACCCGTATCGGCGCGTTCGTCGTCGCCCCCGCGGTTTTTAAAGGCCGGAACTAAGCGGAAGAATAACACGAGTGTAAACCCGCTCTGATTACCAAGTGTGAGGGGTTCAGGAAAGATGAAACTATTCAATAATGCACCTGGGTACAAGGCGAGGCTATATATAGGCTCGACACAAAGGTAGTAACCCTGGTGTTACCAGAAGGTTCCGCGGGTCGCGAAGCGTCCCGAACGGGTCCTTCCCGAATTCGGTAGAAGGCAATTCGGTGGCAACCGAAAAGCCTAGAATTCGGTGCACTCAACCTAGTTCGGTGCCTATAACTATAATAAATATAGTAAAGCAACGAACCTAGGAAATCTAGCAAAAGCAAGCAAAATAAAGCATAATCAAGCTAGTAAATCCTAGCAAAGCCGTCGTACTCTCATAGCGGTGAGCCAAGCTGTTAGTGTCTCCAGCAGCAGCACCCCCAGACCCAGCACCTCCAGCCCCAGCAGCTCCAGTACCTCCAGTACGAGCATCTCCGGGACCTGCGACTCCAGCACCTCCGGTAGACAAAGTACCAGCACTACTTCCAGCTCCAGCAACGACAGCAGACGCACCTCCAGCTGTTGAGCCCCGAGCTCCAGCAGCGCGACCCTGACGGCGAGTGTACCACTCGTGCAGCTGCTGCGGGGAGAGAGGCGCACGCGGACGAAGGCCGCCGCTCCAAGGAGACCGCGCACCAGCAGTCTCAGTACCCTCAGGCGCCGCACCTCCAGACTCAGCACACCTCCAGGCTCAGCACCCCCAGGCTCCTCACGCTCAGGCTCAGCACCCCCAGACTCCACACCCCCAGGCTCAGCACCCCCAGGCTCCTCACGCTCAGGCTCCGCACCCCCAGGCTCAGCACCCCCAGAGACAGCACCCCGAGCAGGACCACCTCCAGCAGGACCTGAGTCACCAGTGACCTCAAGAGGCGCAAGCACGGGAGGATCTACCTGAGAAACACCTGAAGGAGCAGGACCTGGCGCGGGGAGGGGGTCTACCTGGGGAGGACCTGGAGCGAGAAAAAGTGGGGGGGGGGGGGGGGGAAGAGGGGCAGTGCGGTAGGGAAAGAGACGGTAAAAGGGAACCGACTCGTCAAACGTGACGTCCTGAGACGCAAAGACACGGCGCGAGGCGGGGTCGTAAAACTGCCAGCCAGGCGCGTCAGGGGGAAAGCCAAGGAAGACGCAGGGAATGGCGCGAGCGGAGAGCTTGTCCGCAGTGGTATCGCGGACAAAGGCACGAGCACCCCAGACCCGGAATCGCGACGCATCGCCAACCTCCCCCGTCCACAGCAGTGTGGGCGAGGTTTCCGGCAAGGAGACACGGGGCCACAGGTTGCGTACCGGACTGCAAACGGCCACAGAAAATGGGGAGTCGCCGCATGGATCATGGAGGTACGAGCGACCTCCATGACTAAGCCAATGCGGCGCTCAGCAACCCTATTCTGCTGCGGAGAGGCCGGAAGCGTGAATGACTGGCGGATGCCGCGCTCCTCACAGAAGGCTCGTAATAGGTCGGAGGTGAACTCACCACCTCTGTCAGAGTGCAGACGCAGGACAGGAAAGTCCGACTCGAACCGCTCGCGGAGCTGGAGACGAACAGCGCGGATCTAGGGGATCAAAACAGCAGGGACGTCCCCCTTGCTGCGCAAGGGGAAGACCGTAGTGTAACGCGTGTAGTCGTCGACGACCAGCAGGAAGTACCGCTCGCGGCCCTGCCCCTGGACGCGGGCCGGGCCCCACACGTCCAGGTGGAGAGTCTGCAGTGGAGCCTCTGTGGGAGGGAACGAGGAGGAGTGAGGAGCGGCGCGCTGCCGCCCCTCGACGCAAGGAATGCAGGGAGGCGCAGGCGAGGGAGGGAGGGCAGGCAGAGACCTAGGAAGACCAGAGACCAGGGAGCGAGAGTGCATGCCACGAAGGCGAGGCAGGGAGGGGTGACCAAGGCGGTGGTGCCACAGGAGAGTGTCGTGTGACAGGTGACGGCACTGACACTGAGTAGCAACCTGAGCAGACGCGCTAAGCTGAGGAGACAAAGGGGTGTAGCGCGACACAGCGGTGAGGGTGTACAGACTGGACCCAGGCGCACGTGTGAACGTGGCCAGGTGGCGGCCGGTCCGAGAGCACGTGCAGTGCGTCACCCGTTGTCCTCCATGGGTAAAGGTGTCAACCCAGTGATCCTGAAGGACGGCGGTGCTCACCAGGTTCGTAGAGAACGAGGGGATGTGAAGACCTGACAGCTCACCAGACGGGACCGCCGGGCACGGAAGCACAGTAGTGGACCGTGCAAGCACTGGGCCCCAAGAGGGGTCAGCCAGTGAGACAGGGACAGGTGCAGGGAGGGGAGTGACTGTGGTGCTGTTGCGGAAGAAACAGCGGGAAGCACCAGAGTCAAGTGTAAAGGTGTGCAAGGCCTGAGCCGACGCAGTACCAGGGGGAGCAGACTCACTAGCACCTAGGGCTGCAGCCTCTATACCTGGATCAGGCGGCATACACAAGTAGCAGTCACCCTCAGCACTAACAGTCAATGCATACATGGCAGCAAGAATAGCATCATAGTCAAGATCAAAGATAGGAACATCACGCCTAAGCAGATTTGCCAAGTTGGGGAACTCAGTAGCCTCAGGAAACTTGGCGCGCCAGGCGTCGCTAAGCCGAGCGAAGCAGCGGTACTCAGTGTGAAAGCCGTTGCATGGGCGACCAGCGCGGGGACCGGCGCGAATGACATAGGGGCAGCGACCAGGACCCCCAGACACCCCACGCCCAGTATGCCAGTCATGAAGCTGCTGAGAAGTGGGGGTCTGGTGCTGGCTGCTGCTGCTGCTGCTGCTGTCCCTGGCCACCACCGGAGCCCCCTCCACCACCACCGCTTCCACCACCGCTCCCTCCTCCCCCACTACCGCCGCTGCCACCTCCACCGCTCCCGGTACCACCGCCACTCCACCCACTACCTCCACCCCCACGACCACCCCCACCACCTCCACCTCCACCGCCACCCCCATCATCGCCTCCTCCACCGCCACCTCCACCACCCTTGCTTCTCTTGCCGCCCCTGGCGTTGCGGTGCTTCCCACTAGGAGCGGAAGCAGCTGCTACCTGCTCAGCGCCAAGGAAATCAACGGCAGCAGCAGCAGAGGCGTAGGAGGGGGCAAGAGGGGAGGGGGAGCACCCCTCAAAGAGGGGAGTGCGTGGAGTGCCACGAGCAGTGCTACAGCTAGAATACTCTTTTCTGCTGCTAGGAGCTCCTGCTCGAAGTCGTCGACTGTAAGAGTGGTAGGGTCTTTGGCGAGGAAGTGGTCCCTGACTGAACTGAGAGTGTCAGGGAGGCGGGTGACGAGGAAGTAGAGGGTAAAGTACATCAGAGGGGGATTCTTGGCGAGGAAATTAACTGTAAGAGCGGCGTAAAAGCGAGCGTCACTAGCGCGAAGGTGAGAGATGAGGTTCTCAGCAGTGGGGAAGGAGGACAGGTCAGGGAACAGGTAGGGCAGGATGAGGCGATCTAGGGCTGCAGTGGCAGGGGAAGAGTAGCGCGCAACTACAGCGTCATACAGTGCCTTAGCAGTCTTGTGCTGACTAAAATGCGCGCGCTCAGTGATCGGCAGGTGGTTGCGAATAGCGAGGCGCACAGCAGCATCACGAGTCAGCCACTGTGAGCGGTCAAGAGTGGCAGCAGTGTCAGCAAGAGCAACGGAAGTGCCAGACGGGTGATCGAACAGCGAAACTTTATCTTTGGCATCAGTCATGAGAAACAGTTGCAGATCGTCGAGCCAGGTGGCGAACTCTATCGGGCGACCGTCAGGCTCAAACGCGAGAACATTGAACGTCGCCACAGTCGTAGCGGAGGCAAAGGCCGCAGGCAAAGGCAGCAGGTGAAGGCAGCAGGATAAGTCAGCAGGCAAAGCGAGTCTGTGCGCAGGGCCGGAGAGGAAGCGCGTAAGCGGTAAGGACGGCGCGCAAAGCAGCAGCGGGCCGCGTGCAGGCTGCAGAGGCGCGGCGCGAGCAGGTAGGGCGATGTGCGGGGCTGCAGCGGGCCGGCGCGGGCGATGCGCGGGGCAGTAGCGGGCCGCGCGCGGGCTGCGGAGGCTCGGCGCGTGCAGCGCGGGCGGTGCGCGGGGTGTTAGAGATTAAGGATCGAGTCTATGAAGAATAGGTGCCCAAATAACTCAAAATCGTTGGCTTAGAATTCTGGACAGAAACCGCGATTTCACAAGAAACGCCGTCGACGAACAACTAACCGTTCGAATTCCGTCAAAGTCGATTATGTTGTAGCTCTAGACCGTGGCTACAATTCCCAATTTGAATCACCTCAAAAGATGGAGTATATCTCGAGTTATGCTTTTCGGCGCACTAGGGGGTATGCTGCCACACAGAAACTTAACTCACTCACAATGGTTCTCACAAGTTTCACAAAAGTTGCACACACAAGAGTTAGAGTAGCACTAAACCAGGTAGGAGGGGAAGAGGAGGACGAGAGGGAAGGTTCCAAGGGAGTCCCCAACCAAGGAAACCCCATGCCACACAATTTCCCTCTCCATAGGCAACCCCACTTTCACATTTGTCACTTTCCCAACTCATGCCATCCACCTCAACCCACTTGGCCACACTTGCCAACCTGGTTTGGCTTCTCCCAACCACATGGCAGCAATCTACAGTGATGGGTTCGAATTCCCAACCCCAAAGGTCTGTACCCCATAAAAGTCAACCCCACAACTTCCGATAGTCGCCGCAACCAAAGTACAGAAAGCATACAAACTTCGTAACTTTCTTGATATTGCTCCGATCGCGACGATTCTTGGTTCGTCGGAAAGCTCTTGAGCAGATGAGTCACTTCAGGTATCTGCTCAGGCCAAATAACATTCGCACACACTCAGGAAATCCAAACCGCACAAGCATATGATGGGAGGCAGACAGACGTGAATGCATATGGTTGCATCACACAAGACGGGGCAGTAGCCGGCCGCGCGAGCAGCGTGGGCGGTGCGCGGGGCAGCAGCGGGCCGCGTGCGGGTTGCCGAGGCTGCGCGCGAGCAACGCGGGCAGAGCGCGGGGCAGCTGCGGGCCGTGCGCGGGCTGCGTGGGCTCGGCGCGGGCTGCGTGGGCGGTGCGCGGGGCAGCAGCGTAAGTTCTACGTGAAGCTGTCGAAGAGCGACTTCGCCCTGAAGAAGGTGCAGTTTCTCAGGCACATGGTGAGTGCGGAGGGCGTACACGTGGACCCGCGGAAGATCGAATCCATTAAAAAGTGGACTATTGGAGAACGTGAAAGAGTTGCAGCAGTTCCTAGGCTTCGCCAACTATTACAACAGATTCGTGCTATAGTACACTACGATAGTAGCGCCACTCACTGACCTACTGAATTAGTGTACGCCCTTCAAATGGGATACTCCTCATCAGCAAGCCATGGAACAGCTACAGACAGCACTGACCACAGCGCCAGTACTCATCCTACCGGACCCAGAAAATGACTATGCTGCGGAAGCAGACGCTAGTGACCAGGCAGTCGAAGCAGTACTGATGCAGGATCATGGATGAGGTTTACAGCCTATCGCCTACCTCAGTAAGAAGCTACATGGAGCAGAACTGAATTACCCCATTCACGATAAGGAAGCCTTAGCCATATTCGTAGCCTTCAAGGCATAGAGGTGTTACCTAGAGGGAGCCAAGACTTCAATTTGTACTGACCACTACAGCCTCAAATACCTGAAGTCGCAGCAGACGCTCTCATGACGATATGTACGGTGGGTGGACTTCCTAGAAACACACTTCCACAACGACATCGTCTACAAACCTAAGCTACACAACAAAGCTGACGCGTTGAGCCGCCCCGGTCATGTAGCAGGCATCCAGCTCGACGGGATGAACCCTCTGCTCAAGGGTCTATTCCAACATGGGTACTCCGTGGACGGCGAGATCGCAACGGCAGAGAAACAGAAGCTGTTACAGTGGGAGAAAGACTTAGCGGTAAGGAAGGGTTCAGGAAAGATTTGGGTACCGAATTACGCCCCGCTACGGCAGATCCTTCTAGAGGAGTTTCATGACGTACCATACGCGGGACATTTCGGGAGCAACAAGACATTAGCGGGAATAGCGAAGTATTACTACTGGCCCGGGATGGCAGCAGACGTGCAGCAGTTCGTCACCTCCTGCGACACGTGCCAGCGGATGAAGAGTAGCAAGCAGAAAAAAGCAGGGTTACTGCAGCCTCTACCCGTACCGGAGCAGCCATGGCAGGTCGTTAGCCTCGACTTCATCACAGGACTTCCATCGACCTTACGAGGGCATGACGCCATCCTCGTAGTGATCGACAAGTTCTCCAAAATGGGTCACTTCATTCCGACCAACGCCACAGCTACTGCTGAAGCAACTGCTCGCCTCTTCTTCGACCGCATCATCACCATCCATGGCATCCCCGCTACACTCATCTCAGACAGAGACCCAAAATTCACGAGTAAGTTCTGGAAGGAGCTTATGGGATTGTTGGGGACTAAGCTTGCGATGTCTTCAGCATACCACCCCCAGACTGACGGACAGACAGAGCGTTTCAATCAGGTGGTTGAACAGTTACTGCGCACAGCTTGCAAAAACGACATCAACCACTTGGACATACAGTTCCTGACCCTAGATTTCACTTACAACAATGCCTCGCATGCGGCCACGAGAAAATCTCCTTTCTTCCTGTGTTACGGACGAGAACCACTCACACCACAGCAGCCAACCACACCGGCACACGTCCAAGCTGCACACGACTTCGTCACCACCATGCAGCAGTTATGGGAGAAGACTCAGCGACGTCTCACCACAATGCAGAACTCCCAGAAGCAGTATGCCGATCGTCAGCGACGAGATCACTCAGTAGCAGTTGGAGATCAGGTACTTCTTGACACGCTCAACTTAAACTTGTCTCACCTCCCATCCAAACTCCGGCCTCGCTTCTGTGGTCCTTTTCTCATTGAGGTACAGGTGACACCAGTTACATTCCGCTTGCGCTTACCTTCTACGTGTTGTGATTCTATCATTCGCATTCACGTTTGTCAGCCTTCCATCATATGCTTGTGCGGTTTGGATTTTCTGAGTGTGTGTGAATATTATTTGGCTTGAGCAGAATCTGAAATATTTGCTCTGCTCGAGAGCTTTCCGACGAACCAAGAATCGTCGCGATCGGAGCAAGAATAAGAAATTTACGGACATTGGAGTTCGTATGCTTTCTGTACTTTGGTTGCGGCGACTTTGGGAAGTTGTGAGAGTGACTCAATATGGGGTACAGACTTTTGGGGTTGGGAAATTCGGTCCCATCACTGTAGATGCTGCCATGTGGTTGGGTGAAGCCAAAGGTTAGCAAGTGTGGCCAAGTTGGAGTGAGGTGGATTGTGGAGGTTGGGAAAATGACAAGGGTGAAAGTTGGGTTGCCTATTGAGAGGGAAATTGTGTGGCATGGGGTTTCCTTGGTTGGGGACTCCCTTGGGACCTTTCCTCTCGTCATTCTCTTCCCTCCTACCTGGTTGATGCCTACTCTAACTCTCTTCTGTGCATCAACTTGAGAACTTGTGAGAACAATTGTGATTGAGTTAAGCTTGTGTGGCAGCATACCCCCTAGTGCGCCGAAATTAATATCTCGCGAAATACTCCACCTTTTCATGTGATTCGAATTGGGACTTGTAGCAACGGTCTAGAGCTACAACATAAATGGTTTTCGTGAGATTACAGCAGTGCAATTTTCGTCGACAACGTTTCTTGTGAAGTCGCGGTTTCTGTCCAGAAACTAGGACCAACGATTTTGTGATATTTCTGCCACTATTCTTCATAGACTCCGTCCTTAATCTCTAACAAGTGGTATCAGAGCTGATTAAGGACTTTGTGGGGAGTCTACTGAAGTGTGAAGACCCTCTTAGACCCACCATGGCCTGTGGGCGTGCCTAAGTGGAGTTCTGGAGGTTGGGAGTAACTTCCGCTAAGGGGAAACTCTGCCGAAATTTTGTTGGCGCCGACACTTGTGAAAATTGTGTGGGACTTCGGTGTGGACAGCAAAGGGGGGAGCTAAAACCTCTGATTGGGAGCAGAGGAGATGAGTCAAGGGAGTGGAGAAGCAGCTGAGAAGAAGAGTGAACCGCCACCATCCAAGATCGAAGCTTTGGATGGCTCCAACTATGAGGAATGGAGCGGGCGGATGCGGAGCGCCTTCAAGCGCTACAAGCTCCGGAAACTTGCGATGGGAGAAGAGAAGATGCCGGAGGAAGGCGACGCCCGGGATCGATGGATTGAGCGGAGCGCGGTGCTGTACGACCTCATCCTTCAATCGGTCAACAACGATATGTTCCAGCATATCAAGGATTTGGTGGAGCTGGACGACTCCGGACCGAAGGCGTGGAAGCTGCTACGCGACGTGGTACAACCCAACACGCTGCCGATGGTGATTGTGTTGGAGAAGGAGCTGGCGGCCCTCTCCATGCGACCGGGAGACGATGTGAAACCGGTCCTTGACAAGATCAAGGACACATATGCGAGGATGGCAGCGGCGGGCAGCAAGGTGTCGGAGATGCAGCAGTGCACCAAGATCATCTCGGTGCTCGACAACTCGTGGGACAACCTCATCCCCACCCTCAACGTTCAGCAGGACAAGTGGACGCCTGAGTGGCTACGGCAGCAGATCCTGCAGGAGGACTTCCGCAGGCGCCACACGGGAGGTGGTGCTGCCAACAAAACTGCTGAAGGGTATGGAGCTGCAGGAGGCAGCAGAGGAAGAGGGGGA